AGACGTCTCGCAGGACGGAGCCCTGGGCGTAGATGTGGGGGAACTCCTCTTCCACCCGGCGCCAGCACGTGCCTGGGAGCGAGCTGCAGCACAAGGCACCCCGTCAGCCCTGGCCCGAGGAGGAGGAGGAGGGGGGGGGAGGAAGGCTCAGGGCCATGGGACTCACTGGAAGGGTTCTCTCCTCCGCAGACTCTCTCCTCCGCAGCGGCAGGGCTTTGGCCAGCAGTGAGCCCGGGAGGCTCTCGAAGCCCAGCGCATAGACAGGGATGTGAGCCAACTTCTTGGAAGGCATCTTCATCTGCCGGGTGTGTGGGCATTAGGGCAGGATGGGGACAGGGCAGGGACAGGGGCAGGGACAGAACAGGGATACAGTGGCACCGGCAGGAGATGGCCACTTACCTTCAGGCTGCAGGAGGTGCAGACAGACCTGGGGACACAAAGAGAGGCCGGTGAGCGGGGCCACCACGGGCACCCTCCCACCACCCTCCTAGCCCCAGGCACAGCGTGACATGGTGCGGTGCTCACCGCTTGCAGAAGAGGCAAGCTGCAGGCCAGGAGAAGAGGGGGAACTTGGCCCTGCAGCAGCAGCAGACCTGTAGGCAGAGGGGGGGGAGAGCCGGGGGCCGGGCGGGCAGCACTCAGCCCCTCCGGCCCCAGGTCCCACCTTCCCCTTCCGCAGGCTGCTGTACAGCTCCTTGCTCTGCAGGAACTTCTCCATCTCCGCCTTGACCAGTACCCTGCGCACATTGATCATCTCCTCCACAGTGAGGGCCAGGCTCTCCACGGGGTGGCTGAACTCCTGCAGGAGAGGGGGGACATCAGCCTGGTCTGCCGCAGGGTTGCGGCACCAGGCATGGCCTGGAGCATCTCTGTGCCATGGGCAGAGCTTCCCAGCACAGGCAGAGCCTCCCGGCATGTGCAGAACATCTCTGGCATGGGCAGAGCATCTCCAGAGCACCTCCAGCACAGGCAGTGTCTCCAGCATGGGCAGAGCCTCCTGGTACCAGCACAGGGCACACGGCATGGTGTGCCTCAAGCCGCACATCCCATGCAGAGGGAGCACAGAGGCCATGGGGACCCCCTGGCCACCTTGTGTCCTCATGCTGGGCTGCCATGAGCCCATGGTCATACTCACATGGTGTCCCCAGCCCCAGTGTCCCCAGCCCCACCACCAGCACTCACCAGCCAGAGGTGTTTGGAGCTGGTGCCAGGGGCAGCGCTGGATCCGTCCTCTGGCCTCTCCTCCACGGCGCCGAGGGCAGCCCGGGGTGGTGCCGAGCTGTCCGGCAGTGGGTGGCAGCTGGCGGGGACAGAGCCTGCAAGGTGGGGGGGGACGAGGAGACAGTGGCAAGGCCACGCTGCCTCGTGCCACGTCTGCCACAGGGCATGCATGGCACAGTCACCCTGGGGATGGGGGCAAAGGGGTGGCACAGGGCTGGGGACCTCCGGCATATACCTGAGCGGGGCCGGGGCTCGGGCTGCAGTGACTCCAGCTCCTGGGGCTCAGCCTGGCCACCCCCCAGCTGGCTCTGCAGCTGTGCCAGGTCCTGCTCTGAGAAGGAGCGGTCCCGCTTCAGCGACACCTCTGCGATTGGAGAGTCCTCCTCCTGCAAGGCCATGGACACCGCGTTACCCTGGGGACCCCCTCATACCCTCAGGACCTCCCGAGTCCACCTGACCTCCACCCTCCCACTCTTCCATGTCCCCTCTCTCGCCTCGGAGACGTTCATCTCCTCCATCTCGGCCAGCGTGGGTGCCTTGAGCAGGACGCGGGGCCGTGGGCGCGCCGGCACAGTGCTCACTGGGGTTCGGGAGAGCTCGAGGCAGGAGCTGGAGGCCAGGCGGCCCGAGCAGGCGTGGGGGATGCAGGGCAGGGAGCTGTAACCTGCGGACAGGGACGGAGCTCAGTCCCAGCATGACAGGGACCTGGTGCCAGGCACATTACCGGCAGCCCAGTGCAGCAGGGAGGGGATGCTGGTACCTTTCTGGCCGCGGTACGGTGCCTCCACGGGTCGAAGCTTCCTCTCCTGTCTGATCTCCTCTAGGATCTTCTCGTGGAGTGTCCTCTGCTTCTGGGGCAAGGGCCGCAGCCGCCGCTCCGATGCCTGTGGGATCCATGGATGGGGCCTCAGGCAGTGGCTGCAGCTCAGGGCCGACTACGCTCAGGGTGCCCAGCCAGGTGGGGCTGGCACCCACAGGAGCCACC